TATTGTTATGTTGTTTAGCCAGAGAAAAAGTCCTAAAAACTTTTGAAAGCTAAAAAAAAACCATTTAAAAATATATAACCACATTAAAAAAATATATTTCATTTTAATAACTGGGGCAACTTTAAGTAATTAAAATTGGATATAGTCCTTAACTGCCAAGATTCAATATTACAGATATAGCCACTAATAGGTACTGGCCATTGGCTTTATTTTCCATAAGTGTGTCCTACGTCCGCAGGATAGAGTGAATCGAAAACTTTATACAAGTGTTATAGTTTGTGTGTTTTAAGGGCGTATATTTTGAACAATACCATTTACGGCAGTAATAATATATCTCATAAATTGCAACATGTATATACTAGAACATGTATGTTCTATATTAAGCAGCTAAATGAAATAAACAAAATATATAAAAATAATTCATATCACAATGCACAAAAAAAAAGGTATCATTTAATTTTTAAACCGTCAATAAAAATATTATCTACGCGCAGTTTCTTTCAAAAAATATTTGAAACTCCTTCCATAAAATTAAAATTGGTCTCCACGGCCGTATGAATAAAGATTAAAAGAAAATAGTTATATTACAATGGAACAGGTCTAATGACAAGTATACAATTCCTAAAACCTTTATTTTATAGTTTGTGTTGTTAAATTTATAACTCCAATTAATTTTAGATAATTTATATAATTAGTTAACTTACTCTAGTAGATACGCATAAAGTTCAACACCTTTCGTTTCGGTTAATAAATAGTTTTTTTTCTAATGTAAACATTGTGAAAATAAAATAATATTTATAGGTAAAAAAGGTCGTATAAATATTACCATTGAGTATATATTGTATACTATAGAATATATACTCAATGATATTACCTAAACATTTATAAAACTAGTATATGCTATATAATACAAACATAATAACTCATAAGGCATGATTTCATTAAACAAAATCAAGAGTACAATAATTTTAGAGACTAATTTTTGTTCGAGATTTCCTTGTCGAACGTTAAGTACCTATTTACTTTAATTACATATTATTCTAGGAGTTGCATCAATTGTAGAGAAAATGAGAAAGAATAGGTTGAGATGGTTCGGTCATGTTATGAGAAGAGATGAGGCAGAGGCAGTGAGAGGTGTTATAGAGATGAATAAAGAGGGAAACAGAGGAAGAGGTAGATTAAAGAAACCATGGGTGGACGGAATACAGAGTGATATGATGATAGAAGGGGTGATTGAACGAGATGAAGAAGACCTAGCTCTTTGGAGGTGTAGGACTAGGGAGGCCGACCCCATGTAGTTGGAAGTGTAAGGCGAAGATAAAGAAGAAGAAGAAGACATATTATTTGTTTAAAACAATTTAAACACTGTCTTAAACTGTTTAAGAGACCATATCTAACTTATTTAAAACTGCAAGGTCAAAATATATGCCATTAATGATAAAATCATAATGTTGGGTAAGGTCAATTCATGTTAAACTAAATTAAATACTACCTCTTAAAACAATCAAGAAAATGCTAAACATTTTCAAAATTAAAGTAAGTTATTAGAAATCTATGTTTGTTATACTAACAAATTATTCATTATTCATATTATTTTAGATAATTTTCCTGAACTCTAATGCTCTTTGGGCGCCATTTATTTTAAACAAATTAATTTTATTTAGTAAAGAGTCGTTGTTCGATTGTTCTTGTTTTTTTAATATTAAAGTATATAAACTGTTATTTATTGTACATACTATTTTACTGTAGGTTATATTCAATCGGTTTACATAATTAAAACGCATTTTCTTTACTTATACAAGTTATAGGCCTACGCGTTTATACAAATACGGAAGAAACATCAACAGGAGATGAAAAAAGTTAACACCTAAAGAAATATTTACCAAGTTGTATCTAGGTTTCCGATTACGAATGATAGAAGGTGAATACAATTTTAAATCAGTGCGTTTTAATTCTTTCACAGTGCGGACTAAAAATGACGTGGTTACTAATACGTTGTGCGGTTATTAATTGTGTCGTATTCAACGCAGTAAAAATTTCAGGTGATAATGCACGTGCACCGAGTGTAGAAATTGATGTGGCTCTAGTCATGGCCGAGTTTATTAATGCCTTAGCACCTGATGCCTTAGACACGGTTCGTGATTTTGGGTGCAATTTTTTGTACCACGCATTTGTCCACGTCCAATTAAGTAAATTGTTTTTAATCAACGAGCCTGACAAGTTTGTAGAGTATACTAGAACGAATGGTTTTCACAATTGGGCTAAAAAAATGTTAGTGACTATGTCATTATTCCCCAAAACTAGATCGATGATGGGCTCAATGTGGGTATTTTTTTTCTACACGTATGATGTAGAAAAATACTTAGCGCATAATAAGGAAAATAGTTCAAATAAAATGACATTAGCGTGTATTCACGATGAAGCTATTGAAATATTGCGAAGCAGGTTGAAACTAGACTGTTCGATCTTGAAAACTATAGTCGAACCCCAACGAAGAAAGAATGATCCGTCTATGTTGTTGAAAAATGTAAACGATTGCAACGTGGTTTTAGAACACGATATATTTAAAGGAAATACGTTGTTGATTTCGGATATCTTAAGTAGAAATAAACTGTATTTATATAAAATGATAAAAGATGACGTTATCGTGGACACGTTGGTCACAAAATTTGGATTGATTAATGACGACGTCGTGGTAAGAACACATCTTGTTTCCAAATTCGAAACGGTTTTATATCCAAAATCATCGAGAGAACATGTCAACGCGTTGCAAGACGTTCACTATCATTTCATCGCAATGTTGAAAATAATGATACTACGGTTGTGTTTAAATCACTTAACGCTTGTCAAACAGATAGCAGAAATTGATCTCGCAGAAAGAAACTCGTACAGGTACAACTTGATGATTTACAGTGTAGTAGAAGAATTCACACAATTGCTATGTTTACCGAGGGATGATGATGTAAAATTGTTCGGCGAGTTGTTAAATTCCGAAACAAACGGTGATCACGAGACTATCCAAAATATAAGAGCTATAGGAATAGATGTGCTAACAAAATATTGTTATTTCTTAGCCTTCAAAATGGCCTGTAGGGATTTTGACTCAATGAAATTGTCAACTAAGAACGTTGAAAGTATCGCTACAAGTAACGGTATAAGTATGTCAATTGAAAGCGTGGGACGTTGTTCGATGGGCTTGTATTTTGAGAAGTATCATAATGTCGAGAAAAATCTTCTGCATGCTGATATTTTTGTTGAGTACCTTAAACAACATTTTTCAAGAAATGAATTTTTTTTTATTCATTTATTTATGAACACCTGTTCTCTCTGATGGCATACGTTTAATTTTGAAGAAAAATCTGTCGAGAACTATACTTTCATTTTTAATTGATACGAATAAATTGAAGTAACATAGATTTAAAACAAATACTATAGAATATAACACTTTAAATATTTATTTTTGTTTGTTTAATATATGGAATAAATCTTATGTTGAATTACCAATAATACATTTGTGTTAGTTGACTTTGACCAAGGTTATATATTCTCCTTTATGTGTTTTTTTTTTTTAATCAATCTAATAAAATACATAATTGAAAAAGGCCGTTTTATATTTGTTTCACATAATTTCGAACATGCCAATTGATTTCAAAGTTAATTTTTTTTTAAGCTTTTACGAGCCATTTAGGTTCTTTGCTTCTAAAATCAAATCACTCCATACTTCACGTGCGTAAGCTAGATCCAAGTTTTCGTTCCAATCCGGGTTTACCTCCTCCATATTTTTTCTAACCACATCAAGCCATCTTTGCCTTGGACATCCGTTTGGTTTTTTCCGATCTTTTTGATTTACCATAACCATCTTTATAAGAGAGCCATCAGCTCAAGCACGTTAATTTATATAACATTTTGTATATAACTTAAAAAAACACCTATCTCAAAATCAACTCTCTTAAAAAAAAGGCATACACCAATAGAAATAATCTAATAAGTCTCGAAAAAAAGTTCTAAAATATTGATATTATACCTAAAATTTAAAATGAGACTCACTGTTTAATTAATTATTTTATCCAGGGGAGGTCAGGGGAGAAGTAATTCTACCAAGGACCTTACACTTGTCGTAAAAGACGACTAAAGTGACGTAGAGCACTCCGATAAGTGGCCTTCTGACAGGTCACTTCTTCTTGAGACACACCTTCCCCGGCCCGCAATTAGCACCCAGTGCTACTAGTCGGTCCGTGGTCGTAGGAGATCCCTTATGATAATACATTCCGGATCGGATGATAATTTGCCATTGCTCAGTCACACAACTATAGTTAGGTCTTTATAATCGATTGAAGATATTTATCATAAGTCGGGTCAAGGCAAAGACCAATAAAATTGTCGAATGTCGAAACAGCTACTAACGTCTTGCATACAAATAATCGTTAAAAAATAAGTGTAAGAAATCGACGACTGGTTACCATAGTGTTAAAAAGCTTTCTTATAAAATAAAAAAAAGGCTAGAACTCCTTTTATCCATGGAATACAATTTTGAATGACCTCTTGACTAGATTATATATACTATAATTACTTTGAATATTGAAAAGCATTTGCTTAGTTACTTATTTATTAATTCACGGTGGTACTAATTTGTATACAGCCGCTAATGGTGTTAAATTAATTTTTTTTTTACAAACACAGACAATTGAATGATGTCTGTTTCTTTATACAAACTACTAATTAAATAAATTCATAGTAACTCATATTCTTTTGCATGCTTTATTATAATTCCAGACGTTATACGTTTTTGGAATGTTCCTTACTAGTCCAAAACTACAACTATTTTCAGCCGATAAACCGTACATTACACTTTTATTACTATATTATACTCGTCAATATTTTGTGCAGCAATCGTATTGGTAAGTGTACCTTGCGCTGTACTCAGTACATTTGCTCGGTGCTATATACAAATAAATAAATAATTAATTTCAATAGTTTTATATTTTATTATATTCGTAGGTAACATTTGTAAAGTTTACAAAAAAGCAGGCTAATTTATAGTTATTATTATGACTACGTTCTAAAATGTTCTTTAAATTTAGCGTTTAATGGTTCAGTGAATTCATTTACTGTCATCTCGTATAATGCACTTGCACTTCTTATGAGATTCTTAAATTCATCACGAGTCATTTTGCCTAAACAGAGAAACATTTTCATGTAATTTTAAAATACATTATTAATTGATACAGATTTTTAGAATATAAAGAGCAGTTGCATTGGCTTCGAACAGCTTAGCCATGTTAAACGCGCATTTTACAAAAACATTATCTTTTCTATTTTTTAACTTTTTCAATTATATTAATGATAAATGAAGACGTATAGTTAATGCTTACTTTTAGTTATATCAGAAAGTGTGCCGTCCAAATAAAAATTGTTCAATATAGTTTTACTTAAATCGGCATCATTCACATAGTTGCGAAACATATTCAGATTAATGGTACTATTAGGTTCATCAGGTAAATCATGTATATGTAAAATGGACGAAAAAATGCTATTCATGAGCTGAAATTAAATTATACTAATATCATTATAATTCGTTGAATAAGAAACTGATTACACACTTTAAGTGCGTTTAGATCAAAAAACAATATAAATCAAAGTCACCAAAGATTCATCGTGTAATACAATATGCAATTCACGAAAAAAATTTAAGTAATCCATTATGTATTCAATCATAATGGAATAAATTATTCGTGGGAAAAGTTACACCAAGAATAGTATACACCAACAATAACCTACAAGATATATACCCGTTAATGTATGAAACCAATACGTATAAAAGTCATTACAAAGGAAATATTTTGATCAATTTCTTAGAATTAAACATTTATTATCTAAGAAAATATAAAAAAATTACCTCGTCCTCGAGTTGCTCTATATTTGACCGCACTACAGGACCGGTGGCTAAAGCAGTAGATAACGTAAAAATATAATCCCTAAGCTGAAATTGAATTATACTAATATCATTATAAATCGTTGCATGAGAAACTCATTTCACAATTTGAATGCGTTTACGACCAGAGAACAAAATAAATCACACAGTCATTAACGACGCATCATGTGATACAAGCTAGAGATCGGCTCTGTATCAATAAATGTTTGTTTAAATAAATTCACGAAAAAACAATAAAAGTAATTTTATCAAATTTAGGAGTGTGTTTTCATCACAGAGATAAAATTACCTGGATTTTTCGTTGCCTTTCTTCTTCGGTCTCGTCCGCAACACTTTTAGTTACTAAGTAATTGATTGCGAAACACAAAACAAATATGTCTTTCACATTCATTTTTTCTTTTTAAGTTCTTGTAAAGTAGGCGTAACCCGTGTATTTCAATTGGAATTAACAATACAACTTTAATATTGTTTCCAATGCAGCACAGTGGCTGGTTTTATAGGGAACTATCGAAGGACAACATGCCAATAATAATAATACTATCGTAAAATACGATATTTGTGGAACGCTTTTGTTATTTTGTAAGCACACTATAAATAATTACAACGAAATCTGAAAATATTATAATAAGATCCAGACGTTAATATCAACATGCAAAATACTCTTTTTATAGAAAATATGTTTTACATTAATGTGTTTTATTTAATGTCTGTGAGCCCTAGAACTATTTTTGGAATACCGATTAAATAGAGTGACATCTTTCAATCGGAAATCGTACCTTTAATCGGGAAAATCATAAAAAAAATCTCTGACCTCTTAGTTTGACTAGTTTTGACTTAGACGTGCTAAATTTTGCAAGGTCACGTAAAGTAGAAATGTTTTTAGGACTTTAACTAATTATGTTGTTATTATAATAAATCGTTAGTGTATCAACCATATTAAATTTACCACCAGACTGATTTCTCTATGTAACAAGTCTATACATCAGAAAATATGTCCAAAATGTTTACACAATTTAATTTTGTAACCCGTTGGTGTGTACATACAGTAGATTTTATCAATATCAACTTTTTTTGCCAGGTGCTAGACATAGACTGTTACGCAAAAAAATATTCTGGTAATCAAACAAATAGGTACTATATTTGTAAAGGAGGTTCACTTAATAATAAACTGATAGTTTAAAAGCTGCCAGTGTTTAAAAAAAATAATAATAAAAAAATTGTATGCTACTCAGGGCGGTCGCGGATTTTTGGAACAACTATTACTGAAAACAAATTGGAATTTTTAAAAGCGGAGATAATTTTAGGTTGATAACTATAGTAAATACTTGTGTACTTTGTTTTTTTGTACTTATCCTAAAACTCAAAAACATCTAGTTTATTTCAGCTATTAGTCATAGATTATAAAAGAACGAAAAAGAATAAATTATCAAAACAAGTATATTCATTTATAAAGGTGGTATGTACTAAATATTACAATAAATCTATAACTTTCCTATGTACAATGAAATACATAAATAGTTAAGTCCAAGAGGTTTTGGGTGTTTAGAAAAAGATGTGACTAAAAAAATATAAAATTTAAATTAAACAAACGGTTTATATATGGCAAAATTGTCCCGAAAGATAATATTATTAATTAAAGATGCAGGAATCTTCTATTTAAATTTGTAATATCTATTTGACTATAAAATATTGAGACTTTCGAATTATGTTATTTTAGAGGTAATGCCCGTTTTAATATTACCATATTATTTGTCTTATTTTGCTAATTTATTTAACATCTACTACTTTATTATTATCATTATTTTCCCTAACGCTTCGTTTATACATTTTCTAGATTACCGGTGAAATGATCTCAGAATTGTTTCAACGTGGTATATTTTAACGTAAAAATCATTGAACAAGAAAGACATTAAACGTTTTACACATGAATGCTACGTGGCGCCGTTTCACAAAATTGATGCGATATCATTACAGACGAATAAATCTGAAATTCGAAATTTTCGACCATAATTGAATCATCTCGATTCGGAGTTATAGTTTCGTTCTTCCAGTTTATCAATTTAATTAGTGCATGCTATTCGGCCGACGGGATAGCTAATGTTCAGTGATTTGTGAACTGTAATGCAAGAAACGTGTTTTGCATAATATAGACAATGTCTATTGTCGTCTTCTCTTTGTATCCAGAAATAGGATAATATTCAATTCGCTAAATTAAATTCCAAACTTGAAAGACAAGAGAGACGGGTGTTAAGAGAAAGTTTGGCAGTTCTTTCATTAACAGGGAAAATTACAGAGAATTTGATATAATATATCAAAATTATTAATTATGAATTAATATTATGTTAACTATTATTACGCATTACTCTGCCGCACTCCACCTCCCATCCTACACATTTAAAACTTAAATAACTTTAAAAGTAATTATCCATAACTGGTTATCGACAAGTCAAAATGCACAGCAAATTATTCTCATCAATGACTATCTTAAATTTAATCATTTAAAATAACCAAACAAATAAGCAAATTATTTAAAAAAAGGTAAAACAGATATGAGTAATAAAAACCGTGGTGTTTATAGCGAAAAAGAATTTAAATTAATTTAAAAAAGAAAAAAATCTAAAAAATATTCACTAGAACAAGAGTTATTTCATTTGCCAGGTCTTTGTGGGACACCCTGTATAATAATGGTAAGCGAGGGGGGTTAGGTCTATTATGCAATTGTAAGTTAACTTATTCGTCAAGTCTAGTAATTACTAAAAAATACTACTGTATTCAATCATTGATTTACTGGAAAACCGATCCAAGGTTGATTTCCTGCAACTAAAATCGAATTGCGCTATTAAAAACTAACAATCATCATGGAAGATTAGAAGCTATCACTATGCATAGAAGATCATCGTTGTACGGGGGTAGGCAAGGTTTATAGATTATAATATAGGTTGCCTCACAGTCACGTAAACATTGAAATCTCCCCGCAGCACCATAGTTGCCATTGACGTCACCCGCCGTACAAGCGGTCGGCGGCGGCGGCGCTCTGTTGCTGTATATTCGTACACGGTATACGCGTAAATACAGTAACAAATGTCTCATGTAATCCACGTTAATTAATATTAACATTGTTAATTATTATTTATATACTATTACACTCGTCTATACTAAAAAACGACAACATATAAATTGTATATTTAATATTTATACATAGGTAAACATATAAAACATAGTAATCATAGAGTAAAGGCTTTGGCTACTTCATCTCTAGTCCAGTGCACTTGCTTTTGTTTTTTCAATACTAAATTCAATTAATATAATCTATAAACCTTGCGGTGTAGGCGCATTTTTATTTTGCAATAATCATTTATCATTTTTTATGCAGTGCAAGCATACCGCTTGCATCGAGTGGGAAAATAATTGCGTTGGTCACACTGACTGCGTTACCAATGTTAATACGGAGTAGGGCGCCCCTCCACCCGACAACGACCCTTCGAGTTCGGGGGGTTGAAACGATAAACATATATACAGCTGCCACTCGCAAGTGGACCGCCGGTAGAGTTCAACCCCTCGTGTTCCCATTGGTTCAAAATCTAAATGACCCTTCGCCATTCTTCCTACCCACCTGAACACCTGTACAGAGTGATCAATACTTCTGGGCTATTGTGCACACTTTGCGACGCTTGGTATTACAGTAGCTGTTGTATCGCCGAACTGTTCGCGGTGGAATCTGTTGAATGTATATTTTTATATACTAAATTAACATTTTAGTGCACCCAGTGTCAATGTACACAGTGAAATCCGTCATTCATTATTTGTGAGCCATTCGCTTACCGGTTTCCACCCGCTGTTCTGCTTGAACGTGTCGCCGAAGGAGTTGTCAATCGACTAAACTGTTGTTCCTCTAAGTTTGCGCTTTTGCCATTCGCCGTACGACTAAGATGTATTGGACTGTTCATTTGCACAGTAGTCCACGACGGATCAATTATGCTGCAGTCGTTGTTGGCTCGAGTATAATTACATTCGGTGGCTATTATAACGCAAAAGCAGATGATGAGGAAGCACTAACTATATTCGCATTGGACACAGGTGAGTAGCGAGAAATAAAATACCTACTTCTAAAAATCGTTGTACACGTTATGTATGTATCTTATTAATATACAGTCAAGTTGAAATGGTGGAAGTTAGACAAAGTTAATGACGTTAATGCTCCGTCCCAGAGGTGTGGCTTTTCGACAGTGGCCTATGACAAAAAAATATACTTGTGGGGAGGGAATAATGACTTCTTCGTATGCGGCTCAGTGTTTTGTTATGATACGGGTAAAGATTTTTTATTGCTTATAATAAACAACCTATTTAATTTTGATTCTATTTTTTTTTCCAATATACGTTATGGCAAGGAGTGAAGTGGGAATCCTAGCCAGGAAATCACACTTCATTCAGGTCACCTCAAAATTGTCAAAAATCTGCCATTATAAAATTTTGTGCATCAATTTTCATTTTTAAAACAACCTCTTAAACAATAAAAAATAATACAGGATTTGCTATTGGAAGTGAATTTCGTAAGTTAAAATTCCTAACTGAAAGATTTCTTTAGTAAAATAAGTATCTAATAAATTCTATGTAATTAAAACATAGTCTAAAATTTGATCAATATTACACTACTGCTTTTAATATATTGTTATAAATAGTTTTCAAAATAATTATTATGTTTTTATGCACAAATAATTATAAATATTAACAACAGTAAAATGCTAGTAATAGTAGGTTAATATAATAATAAGTAGTTTATATATTGTTTCTTATAAATTCAAAATATTTAAAATGTATTTATCTCGATAAAATTATTATATAATTGTACTTTACAGAAACTTTGAAATGGTCTATATCAAAAGTTCAAGGATACGTACCTGAACCTAGAAGTGGCCATTCTGCTTGTATGATAGGCCAACGTATGTACATTTATGGAGGACGTTATGAACGTTACTTTTGTCCGGAAATGTGCATGTATGATGTCGTCGAAAACACATGGTATACAATTCAGACGGAGGTATGAACATTTTTCCAAACAATTAATTCTCAACATAGGTGCCTAATATTGTATTTGATCCAGAACAATCCACCGCCGATTCAAGATTTCCATACAGTAACTGCTGTTGGTGATAGAATGTACATATTCGGAGGTCGTTGTGGTAAAATTATAAAAAATCGAAAAGATCATGAAGTCTATTCTTCAGATGTGTATTATTATGATACAACATTAAATATTTGGGTGCGCCCTATTGTTCACGGACATAAACCACCCGGGCGACGAAATCATTCTGCATGTATGTGTATATTAAACTAATCTAAGTTACAAGTTATCTCAATATTTTGCCACTAACTGATCGATCGAGTAAATCGAATTTAATTGCAGTTTTTCACAACAACTTTTGGTACATATATGGCGGATTCGATAAAAACGAAAAGACCTATTTTGACGACCTTTACCGCTATAACGTTGTTAGGTCGACATGGTCGAAGGTAACGCCAATAGGTACTGCTCCTTGTGCCCGAAAACGACAAATTTCTTTGGTAGTCGAAGATAGAGTATTCATATATGGTGGGATAAGTCCGCTTCCAGTTACCCGGTTATTTCCCACGAGAGGACCAAAGATTTGTAGACGAAAGGGTAATCGGCTAAAACATCATGATGATCTTCACGTATTGGACCTAAGTACGACGGTTATTCATAATTTTCAAGTATTTATTAAGTTATAAATAATATATGAATATTTTTCAGATCCTAGTTTGAAAGATATTTGTCTTGTTAAATTTTGCGAGAGTGTTAATGACGAGAAAATGATTTCTTCGAAAGACCTTTGTATCCCTAAGACATTAAGGTATGAATAAAATAGTATAATATTATGTATTATGGGCAAAGTAGGAAAAAAAACATTTTATGTAATTATACTATACATTTTAGGTCAATTAATGTATTAAAAAAATTATCAAAATTTACTGAGAAAACAGTGTGTACAAAAATCTAGAGAATCCAATAAAATCACTATGAATAATATTAAGTTGCATTAATTATTTGATTATTATTATATTTTGGTAAATTCACTTGCAGCTGATATAGCTTAAAGATAGGTAATATTAGTTGAGCTGTACATTTCAGCCTTATGTAGTCATACATACAAATTAAAAATAAAAGATGATTTGCAAAGCAAGTGTAATTTTTTATTGATACTCTACGCTTCTGACAGATATAACATATTATTATTATAATATATTAAAGGAAACTTTCTACTTTGCCCTAGATCTCATTTATAATCTTTATATAATATAACTTAAATTATAATATTGTATGTACAACATTTCAGAAGAGATTTATATTTTCATCAACCAACTGATATCTTTAATGTAACAATAACGGATAGTGAATACGAAGACGAAGAAGAGTATGAAGTATTCTTCCAGTAAAGACAAGCTGCAACGATAAAACATTTTTTAATCAGTTCTTATTTAGTACCAATTTAGAAATTTAAGTTTAAGAAAAAAGTTTTTATAAAAAAAACATCTGTTATTAAGCAACTTATTGACTTTACTTATTTACTATTAAACTCCTAATGGATTGATTATTATAATACATTACTTTCTTGTGGATCTATTTGTAGTGGACAAGTATCATTATATCATGTGCCAAAAAAATGTAAAACCGTGATATCGTTGTGTTTATATCGAGTACTTTTTTTTTTTTTGCGAGTGCAATATTGTATCTAGGGAAGATGAGGATTTGTTAAATATCAATATAGTTATAAGTACCAATTTAAAACAACAAAAACCTTACACTGTAGGAATAGGTACAACAAATATGAAGATTTGAAAAAAACTCGTTTTTTGTGCAAGACTTTAGATTGTATAATAATATGCACTTTTTAACTTATTCAACTTGTTAACTTCTTATAAATAATTAAGTTTTAATAATTATTTGATTATTATTATACTTAGATTAAATACACTTGCAGCCGACACAGCTTAAAAGTAGGTACTATTAGTCGAGCTGTACATTTTAGCCTTATTTAGTCATACATTTCATTTTGTACATTTACAAAATTAAAGATGATTTGAAAAGAAATTGTAATTTTTAATTGATATGTCACTTTAACGTTTCTAGTCGTAATGATAAGTATATAAATATTATTATCATATATATATATATATATATATTTGCCCTAGATCCCATTTAAACTTTATTAATTATCTTTATAAAATATAACTTAAATTATAATATTATACGCACACTTATTTATTTGTATTGGACAAGTATTACTATATCATATGCTAAATAAAAATCTAAAAACGTGATAATATTGTGTTTTTTCTCATCAACGCCATTTAGATCAGAAAGATCCAATAGCTGGGACACATCTTGAGAAATGAGAGCAGGTATTCTCTACTTCAGTCTATTCTATAAGAAAAAATATTTTTCTTAATATAAATTCTTAAATAAAAATAAATAAATACATTTCCTAAATATTTTTGAAAGAAGACCTGGTAGAAGAATATCTTGGCTTCAGAATCTAAAAGCAAAATTTGGGAATAGCTCATCAGAGTTGTTTCGCGTTGCAACCTGGTAATATACGTTACCATTTAAGTTTCAAAAGTTGCTATCAAAAAAAATAAGTTGGAAGAAGGGTAAAAACAAAAAAAATTGTGAAAAATTGAGATCACATTGTATAAAAACAATATGAAAAAAATATATTGTAATTTCTTATTAAACCCTATGAGATATGATATATTGAGTGGCTCATGATAAAAAAATCACCCTGTATTTTAATAATAATTAAAAGTCATGAATGATAACACTTTATTTTATGACTAGATCAAATCTCGTGAACATTTAACTTTATGATACTGCTCCTATACTATTATTAAAAAAACACAATTTTTTAAATCTCCATAAAAGGTTATTGTAAAATAACAGACAACAGCCGACAGTTAGTGGCTATAAACGTTAGTAATATTTAACTAATAAGTAATATATTTAGGTAAAATTTATTGTTTTCTCCATCACAGTACCAGTATACGATTTAATTTTGTTAGAAACTCAATTTTTCTTCGGAAAATAACAAGAAATTGATATACATGTATTTAAATGGGAAAACCCGTTTCACTACCCTACCCTTTACATTTTAAGGATCAATGAAAAGGTTTTTTTAGTTGCATTTTGTTTTGTACATTGTCAATCTAGTAAAATAGAAGTATAATAGAGCTTTGAAATAATATAATCTATGAAGTATAAATACTTTGTGTGAGATTGCTCTAAGGGAAGTATATAATACATAAATATTAATTTTATTGAGAATAAGCGATTATTATTTAAACTATGGAGTACAAACGATTGAAACATGAATCGTCCACCATTCCAACTAATTTTAACAAGACATTGTATATGTGTTATTTGGTCCACTAAGTTTTTGCAAAAAAAAAACCAGTACAGTGGGGTCGGGGTATAGTGGGGACGGGAAGGTCACAGGTTTACAGGAATTTTTAAGTCTAAAAGTGATAAAATCACTTTCGAAAAAACGCTTCGATGCAAATCGGTAGTTAGTATTTTCAAGCCAGTACAGTCCAAACCAAGCACAGTATAAACCAGCAAAGTTAGAAAGTATTAAATTGAGGTTCTGTATTTACAAATAAGCATCAAAGCGTTTATTTGAAAGTAATTTTATTCAATTTTATCACTTTTATTTATAATAATTCCTCTAGACCTGTGACCTCTCCATTTCCTCATTGCTTTGATTCCATTATGACTATACTCTACTGTACTAGTCCTCTTGGATAAAATCACTTCACTGTAAAAATGTATGAACCATGTAAAACACACTTTTTTTTATTTGTCTTTTTTTTAAACTATCATATTTTTTTACTATTTATATATAACGTTGCCAAACCTGACCCACTGCAAGGTACTTAATGACATTTGTTTGGAGATGCATTTAAATAATATATTCTTTATCTATTTTTAAGTTCCCATACCATTTTCATCTTATATCGTACAAGAAATTAAATTTACACAGCAAATTATATGTTATGTGCCAATAATGAATACTAATGTCAAATTATTATGTAAATGAATGATTAACTTTTCAACTGCACATGTTATTATGCAATATGTTATTATATTGTTAAGATAAAAAATGTGATAAATCGGATTTAATGAAAACTGTTTGACACTATTTGTTTTCTGATTACTATACATAACAAATGTTGTTTGTAACTGGAAGATGGGCATGTTTTCTTTCAAAAATAAGTTTATTCGTACAAAAATAAGTTTGCATATTGTCACAAGTCAGGTAACACACACGTTTTACACAAATAAACAAACACGCTTTGTGAGAAAAAAAAATTAATAATGTTTTTTAAAGTGCATTCCAGCAGTCAAACATTTTTTTAAATTGTATAAAAAATTATAAAAAAAAATATTTATCTTAAAAATTAAATAAATAATTGTCCGTCGACCATTAACGACGGTTAATGGACGACGGTCCAAATTCATGTGGCTAAAATCTAAACTATTGTACAATTATTTAAACTTAACATTAAAAGTAGTCTTCATGTTTTCTATCGTATCACAAATCAGTTTTTCCATCAGGCTCTGAACAACATCGTTTTTTATTTCTACTTCGTCCAATTCAAAATCGGTCCACTTGCTATTCTCTTCGTACATCTGTTTTGCTACAAATCTGTTGACCTTTTCCTCCGAGTCATCTACATCTACGACTCGATCCATCGTCTGCACCACAAGATCATGAAACTCTTTGGCGCTCTTTGGTGTCACTCGAAACTTGTTTAACTTTAGTCCGGTTTTCATCCAAACGGGTATTGGTTCTTCATTTCTATCGAACACGCTATGCGCTATCTCCTTGCAGTAGTCAAAAACAAACATCTTTTGGTCGACATGCTGCTTGGAATCGTTTTTGCTTACGAAGTCTTCCGGCATTGTAGCGTTAACGTTATCCATCAAGCGACTGGTTGCTATCGTTATCAATCGGTGCACTTCTTCAGTAGTGTACGGCAAGTCCACGACTGGCATAGCCGTAGTCTTTGTCGGACTCTTGTATGGAGGTGGTGGTTTATTGGGTATTTGTCGCAGATAAAACCGATCTTCATCCGACATCCGAAGTCGTTCAATCTGAGCAGAAGAGATAAATGCAAAGTTTAAACATTTATCACATATTTAATACTATTACATACTTCTTCTTCGATGCGCATTTGTTCCAACTTCAATTTTTCCGCTTCCTGTAGCGTCTGGCTAAGAATTTCTTTAGGATCATTATGATATTTATCAATGGTAGCAAAGCCGATTTGGTTTTTTTTCTAGAACACCGTATTTTTCGATTAGAAACTAATAATAACAAATTAAAATTTTACCTATCTACATAACCAATAAAAATCACAATAACAGTTACCTGTTGTTTTCTATATTTTTGATAGTATATTTCGAATAACCCGTCACCATTCTCCATATTGTTAGTTGTGTGTTCTAAAAAGGAACAATACATTTAAAACAAATTATACTTAAAAAATTAAAAATAATTAGTTAGTTATCGACAATAAAACTTACGCAGAAATAAGCTTTTTATGTTACAATAGTAAAATAAAATAGTTAATAAAAATGCACTTAACGTTAATATTTTAAAATACTTAATAAGCCATATCGATGAACCGATTGTTATGCCGACAAGCAACACTTGTAATAAAGCAAAAACATGCATACAAAGATTTTACATTATATTTTATTAGGTATGTGATTATACACGAGCAAATATCAACTTTTTTTCTATATTGTTGTATTCACTTACGTCTTGTCAGATGTTCGGGCGGTTTCAATTTTTTTCTAGCGTTGCACAACCATTTTAAGTAAAGAAATAGCCTTTCGAGTTGTGCTTCATTTAAATTTACTATGTAAGCACCGACTGTATGTGAAATGAGACTGTGGAAGTGTCGTTTGAAAAGCGTGGCCGTAATGACTGTAGCATGTTCGTTAAGAACGATATAATTCTGATGTTCTCTTTCTCGTTGTAGAGTAAGCAACAACGGAGTTTCATCGGTCAAGTCATTCAAGTCATTGCCACCTTTCTTGTACGGCGATGCTTTATTCCTATTCTCTTGCAACACTCGTTTTGTCTCTTTGACAAGACCGTTCAAGATATTGTTGGTTATATTGTCGGCTTCACACGTATTGTGTAGCAACTTTCCATCCGTTCTGTGCGGTTCTCCTGGAATCTAAAACAGAATGGTTAAATTTAAACCGAATAGCTACGACTATTTTATCTTCAATGCAAATCGAGGACGATGCATTTTTATATTTGTTTTTTTTTTTTTGTTAAGTTGGGTTTTGAAAATATTTTTGTTGGTTGTTTTACAATTGTTTTAGAGATTTCGGTATATTATTCTCAACGTAAAAAGATAATGAAAGACATACATTAACCATTTCACCCGCCAGAGGTTGAATCTTTTAATTTGAGTTGATTTTTTTGGACTTCAGGAAGACCGAAAGAGCCAAATTACACTTCAAAATACTTTTATAATTTTCATAACAAATTAGACTAATTTTCTAATAACTAAATAAAAAAATCAGCCTATGCCGTGACCGGCATATACTGGTATGCACTGTGCTGGCTTTTATTTAATTTTAATTACCTTAGATTCTTCAAAATGTTGCTCAATAAACGTTTTATCTTCAAATATTATGTCTCCTTCACTTCTGTCTTCTTCGTACGATGATTCTTTATCAGATACGCACGTTGACTTATCATTATAGTTGGAAGGCTCTTCCGGTAAAGGTATGTCCGAAGTAGAACTGTCCGACGTGAAATCAGAACTATAACTTTCATCGATTGTTGTTTCGTTTTTTGATAGTTCCAAACATTCTAAATCTTCATCTGTTACTTTAGAGCCATAATCGACGACTTCACTTAAATAACTAGTTTCAATTTTATTTTCAACATCACTTTCGTTTGAGGTCAACTCTTTGTTGAAAAGCTGTCTTTGCGCACCGACTGTATTATTACAATTGCCGTCTTCAGTATGATTAACCAATAAGTTGTCCACAATAAGCACTTTTGCATTTAAATCCAAGGGCGGCTCAAAATTATGGATTTGTTCAATGTTGTCTTTTATTTTTTCTACTGTCTGCGTGGAACACTCGGCAGTCATAGGATTTTCATTTTTAACACCAAGAAATTTGTCGTTGGCAAAATTGTTTTTCAATAAAAGCTGTTGTTGAATTTCTAACTGAATTGAGCTCGGTGTCTGAGACGATAGTTGATTGACGGACTTTATTAAAACACAATCGCTTTCTAAGCTGGACGCATAAGTATCAAGATTTTCATCGGAATGAGCTGATACGTGATTCGGTGCTTCACAAACTTGTTGATTAGACAACAGCGGCTCTTTAGTGAACGGTTCTGATACTTCTGGACAGACATCTTCATCTGAACAAGAGTGGTTAGATGACTTCTTGGATTCATTATGTAAAACTCGCTGAAGCGCGACTGAGTGGTCAGGCGAAGCACTACATACTGAAAGACATTTGATAACTTCAATGTTATTTCTTTCCACTTCAACTACAATTTTTTTTTTCGAGTCTTCAATTTGTTTGTTGTACACTTCTATTTCTCTAAGTAGTTCTCTCTCTATAACTTTTAGACTTTCTCGTTTTAATTTTTTTTGTTCTTTTTTCAAACGATTAGATTCCAGTTTTTTATCTTCAAGTGTTTTTTTTAAAGTCTTAATACGAAAGTTCAATTCTTCTCGGTCCGAACCTTTAAAATAAAACAACAATTTTAAGCAATCATTTCAATTATAAAATATGTAAATATTTACTAGATGAAGTATCCGAATGATGGTCAGCCGATATATCAGAATTACTTTTAGGTAGAATCATTGACGTATTCTTACATATGAATTCAGATAAATCCTCGTTATTTTCACTGATATTGCCACTACTATAAACGTTCAACAAGAGTTAATAAAACATTTAAACGTCTAAATAAATTTACTCACTTCACTGTTGACGTTTGCACAGATTTATTCAATATACCTTCGATCTGCATTGGCCATCGGATGTCAGTTTGTACTTGAATACTTTCAACATTGTGTTTTGATTCAAAAAAAATAGGTGAACAGCACTGATCTGATAAAAAAATTAATTCAAAGTAAATTTTATTTAATGTCGGCAGGAGGGCAGAATAGATATAATATATCATATTATATACCATATATTATAATATTTATAAATATACCATTATTAATACACCATATTATGGTAACGATATTCAGAACTTTAGAATAATTTGAGGCTTTATTAAGTAATACATTAATAAAGTATTACAAAAAATTAACTGACCCGAAAATTGAATTTCATTAATATCTGTTGATCGCATTTTTTTTGTCTGTTTTAACGCATTACTCGAATCACTCAAATTCATATCAACTTCATCGCTTTCTTGGAATTTAATATTTAAATATCGATTCGAGGCATCTAAATTTAACTTCTGACGAGCCGTTTCGTTTTTCTATACAAGAAAATCGATTCAAAATCATTAAACAAAACATAATTTGAATTTTGTATTTTTTCCATCTGTCCGACTTACTTTTGAACAATGATCTAAACTTTTAAGTTTACCTATTACTTTCTTGGAAGACGACTGCAGTTTTAAATACTGAATTTGTTCCTCGAGCATACAAATTTGTTGTTTGTAAAGCGACTCTATTAGTTTAGAAAGTAGTTTAACTTGAGATATAGCGTGTTCAAGTTTTTTAACACTACTCCTTTGTTTCTGTTTTAATAGTTGTATTTGTTTTTCTTGTCCCGGTCGATTTTTTAAATATCTAATAAACAGAAGTATACATTAAATTGTTAAAATACACAGTTCACATTCTACGTTGGGTAATTTTGTTTACTTCATTTGTAAATCACACATAGTAATTTTCCATTTCAAACGATTAGATAAACATTTCTCCCTCAAATGAAGAATAGTGTGATGTTGCTGTACCCTGAGTTCCACATCTTTGATAAACTGTTCGAACTATTAAACAAAAAAATAATTGATATTTAGACAATTCAAAATTGTATATTTTATAAGCTTATAGAGCTGTAGAGTAGATTAGTATTTAAACTTTGTTTGTACGCTTGTAGAAACATTTTTCAGACTTCTGAAACCCGTGCGTATGCTTATGTATCCATTTAATAAATAATTTAAAAAATCTTAGTATTTGGAAAGAACTTTGAACATTTTTGTGTACCACTCCGATAACATCTTCAATTTTTGGATTAACATAAATATTTTTGAACACATTATTGAATACATATGAATACATTATTTTTTTGATATTAACGTAAACATGAACATGAACGTGTTCATATTTTAAGTGAAATTCCAAACACCGATTAAAATCTAACTTCTGAATAAAACTAAAAATCTACTAAAAATTTGCCTTTAAAAATCTGAGGGTGATTATCTCTCAGATTTCATCACTTACGTTATGATAATTCCTGAATACCTGTGACCTGTGCTCTATCCCAATATGCTAAGCCTACTCTTCCCCAACCCCACTGCGCTGGCTTTTTTAAATTTATATTTAACAAAATGTTATCAACGTAATTTACCATTTGTATGGAAACCCCTGTTATTGTTTTATCCACGTTCGTCATATTTGATGTTAAAATGTTTAGATTTGTTAAGGCCGAATCAATATTTGAATCCAAACACTGTTTTTTTACTCTCTTGGGAAAAGAGTAACGTTCGAGTACGCTATTGTCGACTTTTTGAAGCGTTTCCTGCAAAATAAAAGATATGTATTTTTTACATTATTGGCTATTAATTTATAAATATTTGTAATTAAACCTTAAACTCAAACGATGTGTTACAGCTCATATTTTCTATATTGCATAAAGATTCGTTTAGATTATTGAGAGTGTCCAGTTCAGCTTGAAATTCATCATGAATCTCGTTAAACTGAAATTAGTAAAAATCATATGATTAAACAAATTGAAATATTGTAAGCCAACAATGTAGTTTGTTAGGAAACATACAGGTCGCCAAGAGTAGTTGTCAGGTGTCGATTGGTTTTGATTGGGTTTTAGATTAACGCAGCTATTATAATTAGTCTTGGTCCAACGCTCATTTTTATTTGGAAAGTCAAAGTTGAACTCTTCTGAAATGTGCTTTGTGTCTTCATTGGTTATCGTAGCTATATTTTTAGTCGATTGGTGGTTCTGTTCTAGATTTTTTTTTTCTTTGTTCTTTATTTTATTTAGTGACATTTTTACTTCAAGTTTCTTATCAGGATCACAAATTATCGATTTACATTTTTCTAAATAATTTCTTTCTTTATTGCGGCTAGAGCAACGTTTAATATCAACATCTTCATCGCACGGTTTATTAGAATAATCAGAACTATTTGCTTTGACTGCATATTCGCTTTCAACGTTATTTGTTTGATTATGAGTATACGTGGGAATGTGTTTGTCCTCATTTAGACTATGAATTACCGGATCCAATTGGGATTGTTCTATTTGTTTGAGACGAAGTTTACATTTCAGCACTGATATAAAATTCATCGGAGGAGGTTGTTGTTTCGATGACAGAAATTTAAATATTTTATCACTAACTCTATCGGTTTGAGTGAACCCTTCACACACCTTTCTACTCAGAGTATCTGATGTGTTAGCTTTCAAATTTAACGGTTCGTCAAGGACTACCGATTCGTTAGGATTTCTCGCAGATCCAACAAATGAAACAGTGGACGGGTTTAATTTTAATATATCAGCTGAATTGATATGAAAATCAGATTTGTTTGAATACAAATTAAGGTTTTTCTTTCTTTCGTTGTATTTCCTAAAACATTTCTGTATAATTCTGGCAGCTTGGATGCGCCTTTCTAAAATAAAAATAAAATATTATGATGGCTTTTTTTTTTTTTTTTAAATGATACGTACCACTATTTTGTTTCTCCTCAGCTATGGAGGTCTCGCTTAAGTCCATTTGGGGAACAACAAAAGTATTTTCATTTATCAACTCGTCAATGTTTTCAAAATATTTAAACTTTGAAAACAAAACTTCTGGTTTAGTGACATCTCGTTGTACTGGATCTATGAAATCAACATATGCCGATTATAATTTTTTACATTGATAAATGAAAAAAATTAAATAGTTAAAACATTACAGTTTTTATATTTTTGCAAGCAAGATCGGTTGGTTATTTTGTGCGAATTTGATTGTAAGGTCTCGGCATTTTTAGTCTAATAGAAAAAAAAAATAAAAAATTTGAACGACAATGACAACGTTAATATATATATATAAAGCTTTAAAAAAAAAAGTCATCATATTAATTCACATAATACAAACCATTAAAAAATCCATTTTTTTCGACTCTGACTTTAATGGGGATTTTCCAATAGCATTCTGTATAGTTTTTACTGATTTCTGGGCACAGCTTATATTTTTTGGAGGCGACCATGTTTGATCCAACTTAACAACACAAATTCAAATGATTAATAACTAATAATCAATAAACAGTTTTCAAATGGTTTACTTCAGGCTTTTGAGGCGATGATACCCTTATAGGCGTTTTGTTTCTGGTAATACATTTATCTTGTTGATCATCGGCGACCTAAATTTATAGAACCGTCATGATAAGCAAACAAATTTGGCTTTATCTAACAAATCATACATATTTTTAGAGCTGAAATCCATGATATTACCTTTGGCTTCACCGAAGCTTTAGCTAACATTTTCGTAGTAATATGTAATTGCTGTAATCTAGTTTTACGTTCTTCTATTTGTTTTTGTTTTTCTAATAAATCCAGTTGCATTTTTTTGGCTCTTTCCTTCTTCTGTTTTTCGATAAACAATTTAGTTTCAATCGCTTTTGCATCCCCCCTAGCTTTTTGATTAACAGGGGATTCTATAACAATTCGTTGGGAGACCTCTTTGGCTTTCAAAGCTACACATTCCGTAGGTTTAGTGTCTGGAAATATTTTATTTGGTTTTTAATCAAAAACTGATTGGTTCCTTAGCTATTATTTTGTAAATGAGTAAATAATTCTTACTTTGTTTATTAAGGAAAACAATTTCATTTACAGTAGGAACCTGCGGTCTTGTCTTAGTCTGGTTTTGTAACTGAACAACATCGGTTACACATGGTATTGAATTTGGTTTAATTTTACATGTTTCATGTATCGCGCCAGAAGTAAGGCACAAATCGTTGGAATCTTTAGTCTGCACAGCGTTTCCAATAATTCTTTGAGAGCTCATCGTCCTAAATAAAATAAAATTATTAAATTTTACTCAATTTATCTAAAAAAAAAAATGTATCAAAAATTTACCATCCACCCACCAAATGTTTAAAGTTTTTACCCTAATATAATTATTAACAAATTTTAATTAGGATCATTAAATAACTACAGTTCCACCCTCGTTCAGATGCGTTTCATGAACGAAACATCGAGATCAAATTTATTACAGCATTTAACTTAGGCTTTCTAGGAATATAAATTGAAGTATTGGAGCATAGTTTACAATACATACATTGTAAACTAGATAGATAAAATAGTTTGCCCAACTGTAGTATTGTTTTTTTTTTAATTCCAACATTAACCATTTTTTCCCATGCCAATTTAAATATTACCTTAATTTCCGGTTCAAACCTAAGCTAATATTTCAGTAATACCTAACCAATTCGATAAAATAAATAACTATATTCGACAATAAAATATAATACACTTACCATTGAAATTATGATTAACTATAAAATATAACAACTGAACATTCACTGATGGTACGAATGAAGGTACTCAAGTATCACCTACTACGGTAATTTTTTTTTATGAAAGAGTGAGATACATTTTTTAGACGAAAATATTAATACATTAAAATATAAAACATTAATACGATATCTTTAATAAAAAAAAGTTAACTGACCTAACTGTAGACTGTAGACATCTTTAAAAAAAAAAAAAGTGTCGATTACTATCATAAATCAGTAATATTATTGTCGTCTCCATGTTACGAAAAACAAAAACATTAACGAACATATTCTGTTGTCAAACCATTATCACTTTTACACTATCACAGAATAATTTGAGTTGGGGGTAGTTCTTTACGGGCACAGGGCGCACGCAACATTCGTGGTAACTGTGTTATCCCCCTCCAGCCGACCATCGTGGACCGCGGTTGCCACTGTTATCACATGCTGCACATCTCTTATCAATTTTTAAAAGTACAGAAAACAGAAAAATATCCAACACTTAAGTAATACCATTAGCATAGTTTGCACAGTTTATATTATAAAAACATTTTCATAGGTAGCTGTGGATTTATAAATGAACTGACTCCACACTCTTTATAGCGTTAAAGAATCGTATAGCTTAAAGTGTACGGCTTACACTCTAGCTGGTACAAAATAGACTATTCTGTGTTAGTGCACTCTGTATGTATCATTCATCACGAGTCACGCAGTACATAATGCAGAATTTCTTGAAAAGTTATTATTCGTTGTGCGATTACATAATATTATCAAAAAAACATTCCAGATCAGTGCCGTGCGGTGTGGTCTTTGAATCTGAGGGTCACGAAGTAACCGTGTGAATGTAAGTACCGATACTAACATTATTGTCAATTCAAATTTACACCCGTTTTGTTTAATTTAATAATAAACTACAGTTTACGGGTTTAATGAGGATTTTCAAAACAATTTAAATTATTGTACCTATGTAAAGTATAGTCTTATAGACTGAGTTGCGCTATCAACAGCCGTAGGGATTAAAATGCAAGTTTATAGCCATCCGGTGTAGCAGATGCCATGATCTTTTTCTTATGTAAACATTCAAATATTTTTCTATAAATGGGTTTTGAGAAATTCATTTTTTATTATATCATAATTTAATTCCCATGTTTTGCTCGATTTATTTTGCACCAAAACTACTGAACCAATTAAAATCATTGTGATAAACATTCATTGGTAATTCAAATACTTAGATTTGATAGCTTGTGCGACTAACAGATTGGGAATTCCAACTCACAATATTTACTATTATATAGCATTATATAATATGTATATATTATTGTATACATATATATGTAATGCTATATATATAAACAATATATTTAAAGTAGCCGAGGGACTTACGATTAATATTTGCACGGCTCCTAATGTATAATTATTAGTAGTAATAATATAACTAATTGAGAACTATTAGTAATATATTTTCTTGTTGTTTGTTTTTAGAATCCTCATCTGGAAGTCAGTCCGATGGCGACAATATTGTATAAAAACTTCAATGTTGTTTGGCATGCCAAATTCAAAGGCATCCTTTATTTCATCAAAGTGCTTTGGAAGCGGTTATTAAATTTGCAAGAGTTTAACAACAGGTGACACCTGAGAGAATGGTAAAACATATCGTACATTAATAACTTTAAAATTGTCTTCTTAAGTTAACAAAAAGTAATTTTTTAGGCTTCTCGAAAACACAGTTAGCGCCGTGTCAAAAGATGTCCGTACTTAGTTCAGGGAGAGATACAAGTTTTTTGTATCTTCTTGCAGCGCCATATCAACTATTTTAGAAGTTTGAAGGATGCTCTGAGTAAAGTGGCCGAAGAATTTGATGGAGAGGAGTCTGAGTTCCATGTATTATGATATTGTAAACTAACATATTAAATGTGTGCCGTAAGTTAAATTGATTCTGTTATAAGATGATAGGTGATCTTACAAATGATGTCTAATTTATAAATAATTTGTGTATAAAATTTGAAATCTTATTAAAATTAATTTAGTTTGTTTATTTTAAATATTTTACAGAAGAAGATATGGGTGTGTCGGTCTTTGTTGGACCAACGTTTAGTTATTGGCCAACACATCTTCTACCTAATAACTAAAGCCCGAAGCTTCCAAAAGCCAACACTAGAGGCAATGGACGGAGCTTTTAGAAGTATTTAGTTGTTGCCCAGGGCATCTAGTTTTTGGCCATGCCGAGAATCGGCTGCATTGACCAGATATGGAGCACCTGGTCAGCAACGTATTTAGCACAGCAGAAGGGTTAACCATAATTGTTTGCACACCTTCAAATGTATGATTATTAGTAGTATTAATATAATTGAGTATTATTAGTAATATTTTTTCTTGTTGTTTGTTTTTAGAATCCTCATCAATACTTAAGCACTAAGCAACAACGGTTGCATTTGCCTAAAAGCATTTTGACACTAACACTGTGAAAAAAAGCTGGCCTGAATGATTAATACAAATTTACTATTACTTCTATTCTTCTTCTTTAAAACATCGTTTTAAAAGGTATAACATTAAAACGTTAATTGTATTTTCTTTTTTCTACAAATTCAAACTTAGTTAAACTATCAGATTATTATACTAATAATAATAATAATAAATAGTCTATAACAGCATTTGTTTTAGTAAAAAAAATACACTTTACTATCCAAAGACAGTCTTATAAACTTAATTGCATAATTAATTTTGCTAAAGTAAAATATACTATTTTTGAGTTAATATTTAAGATACATTTTAATGGTTTAAATTAAAAAAACAAACGTCTAACAATTGAGGAAATGTAATCAATATTATGTTTATTCCATTTAAGGTGTTCATCAATAATAACACCCAAATATATTAGTAGACTATGACACAACTGTTACGGTTTGAAGAGCTATAACGTTCACTCAAGTGGATCATACTTATCACTGCATTCGTTTTATTTGTATTTATACTAAATAAAATAAACTTAGACTTGTGTAAGCATTAACCCAGAGTTATCAAACCAAAGTTTAGCCTTTTTTACACATAGATAACAATGAATAATAATATACATCAAGTTAGATACATAATCTCCATTAACTATTAACACAATATCATCTGCAAAACAAACATATTTTCTTTTTTATATCAAAATTTAATAATCATTTTATGTAAATTAACAATTATGACCCAATGACAGTTTTTGTGGTCTAAAAGGTTAAAATCAAACTTACAAGATATTGTACCAAGGAAGAAAGGTTGACTTCATCGGTCATTAAGAATGTAGAAGTAGAAATAACGATGAGCATATTAAACTATGACAAGATACACTAACAAATTTACCACTCGACAATCTCAGCGTAAACATTAAATTTGTTTTATTGTTTTTTTTAAACAGTTTTTACTAATTAGTAGCATTTTTTTAAGAAAAATTATAAGTGCACACACTGTATACAGTTAATAAATAGTATTATACATTTGTTAAATACCTATTCAAAGTAGTTATAAAAGAAAAAAAAATCAGTTAAAATATTATTAGATGAGTAAAATAATGGTGAGAGGGGAGGGACTGCAAAATGATTTTGCCCCTTTGGCGAAAAATGTATTATGTTAATAAAAAAAAGTTATTAAATTACAAGTATTATAATAACGGTTTAGAAACATAAATTTGTTATGAAAAAAAAAAAAAAAATTAAAGTAAATATTTAAATTTATCGGTAAGTATAAGCATCACTGCTTAAAAATAAGATAAGGTCGTACAAGGTGTATACAATATGATGATCTGACAGATTTTAGTTTTTTTTTTAAACTGTATATTTCACATTTTTTATTTAAAAAAAAAAAATTATAATCTGTCCGATCAATAATGGATTTTTTAAATAGTATTTATTTTATCGATTATTATAGGCGGGTCGTAGTCGATGCGTTCATCCGTCTTGGGTTGAATGTTTTTTAATTCCAGTTGTTTCAACACACTATTAACTACCCATAGTGCTTCTATAACTCCACGAGTGGATAGCCGTTTCACCCTATTCGTGGCGGATTCAAAAAACGCCTCAATATCATAGTTGAGGGATTTGGGTAGCACATTAGAGGAGAACATGGTTTTGTTGATTATTTGAGACGGTGAATTTTCTTTTACGTCTTCACTTTGGTGGTCATTCGTGTCGGACATGTAATCCGACGTGTAGCTAAAACAAAAACAGACAACTTTTAAATATTTCAAAATCAGTTAATACTCAAACTACCGTTTGAGACATGCAACAACTACGGTTGAATGGTTACTACTGAGAATAATTCATTTTAACCAATTTTGTACACATAGCTATTTATGCAATGGTTTGGGTAAGACTTGTACTTACTTAAGAATATTGTCCACGTCGTCTAAAAATGACAATTTAGAAAATAGCGTCGACCATTTAGTTTTACGTTTTTTCGGTAAATATTCATTGTTTTCGCCGTTTAATTTCAATCTGTTTCTCGTACACACAATGGACTTCCAACGACGTCTTAGATCAACTTCTAAGCATACAAAAAAATAATGTTGTTTTTAATAAAATTTCTAGCAGATATTTGTTCTGGAACAAACAAAACTTTTTTTGTCCCAAGAACATCATAATGTAACAAATATTATTTTGAATTTCTAAGCTTCTTAATAATTCTAATAATCAAAGTACCTATTACTATTATGTCAAAAACATAACGATAACATTACTCATAATATAATTATTGACAAAAATTTCAACAACATTAAAAGTTAGACTTGTCGATAGAGGGCTAAAACCGTTAAAAACTACTATGGAATTTTTATTAAACTGTTCGCTAAATAAATTCTATACCATAATTGGATTTGCTTATTTTAATAACGGTACCATTGTACAAATATAATTTGTCGCAGAAAATACAATTAAAAAATTCATCAAATTTGACAAAACCCAATATTTTATTGATAAACTGTACAAATTAACTGTCAAGCTTTTATCAATAGTTATAATATGATAGCTGTTTAAGTTTTATAAAAGTACTTATTTTTTGTGTTCGATATTTTGTACTATATTTATTCATTAGTTTTAGTTATTATTACTCTTGCCCCTAGAAATTTTAAATAAATAAATGTTTGCGAGATAAATAATTTACTTATTTAAACTGAACCTAGATATAACTAGCAGCAAGGGTGCAATATCGATTGAAAAAACTTGATGGCTTAAACACCGAAAAATATTGTTTGAAGAGTGAATTTGTCAAACGTTTTAAGTGCCAAAGTATAAAAATTGAACTCTACAATTTTATTTGTATATTATTCATTACCGGAAGCAATATTGTAAATTTTTCAAGTGAGGAATACCTAATTATTTTTAAAAAAAACAATCATATTTAACACTTCAACATATGTTTAATTGTTTCCGGTAATGAATAAAATACAAATCAAATTATAAAGTTCAATTTCTATACTTTGGGACTTGGAATATTCACTCTTCATTTAGCTTCCAATCACTTATTGTAACTTAATGTACATGCCCAGCTTCCCACAAGTAGCTCCTATGAACAGTAGCGGTACTTACCGGTAAAAACACCCAGCTTTTTTGTTATTTGGCTCCATGCTTGGTTTTTTTTTGTTCTTTGTCCTTTTTTCATGTATATGACGGGGTATTTTTGGACTTCTTCTATTAATTTCTCCTCGTCGGATAATGAAAATTTAGTCATATTTTATTAGGCACTTCTTACATTCAATATAAAATATAAATTATTGTAAGGTAAAACTTAGCTATACAAGTTACTGTCGACCTCGCGGTATTAATAGTACTAACTTACTAAGTTAACAAAAACGACCACCATTCAAAATCTTATTATCTAATCAGAGTCGCCCCAGCTGTATTTTGATAACAGAAAGTGTCGTGGCTTTAGTGTATGTTGTGTTGTTGCCAATACTCTATTATTCTAAGGGGCAGTCCATGTACACCCCCCCCCCCCCAATGAACGTACTATTGGCGTTTCACCGACTTTTTGGGAGAGGCCTTTTACTGACGTGCAAGGAATATTTGAGTTATAGATGATAAGTTGTTGTAGTTGAGGTAAGGAATAGGGTATATTGAAGGGTAGCCTGGGGTTCGAGTATTAAATATGAATTTATTAGTATACAATGAATATTCAAAAATAAAAACAAAATTGTCATATAGACGTTTTTCCAGTCGAAGTGAAAGTCGAAGTGTATCGTCGACGGCGGCGGCGGCTGCGGCCAACCCGTCCATCCGGCGAGCGCGGCCTGTCGGACGACTGGAGGGAAAAGCGGGCGCGGGCGCCATCCGGCGGTGGCGAGTGTGATTAGCACTCGCCCACCACCGGAGTCGCGATGCGACCGCGTCATACTCCCCCCCCAGTCCGACAGGTCGGGCTTCAATCCGGAAGGACTAGCGGGGTAGCCTCCAGGAACCCGTTGATGGCCGGCGTGACCTCCATGACCTCGGTGCAGGTGATGGCTGGGCTGACGGTGGCTGCTGGCCGGGCGTGGTTGGCGTGACCGAGTCCGTGCCGCGGCGAGTGGGTGTCATGGGTGACGTCTGGGCCAATGGTTGGTGCTGGACGGCAGTCATCGGCGCAGGCGACATCTGGGCCAACGTGGATTGCTGGACAGGCGTGGTTGGGGCGGACGGCGTCTGCGCCGAGCCGGCGTTAGACGGGACAATGACCGTCCGGATCCGTGGTCATGTCTGTGGGGTCGTTGGCTGCTGGGCTGGTTGCGGTTCTGGCCAGAGGTCCTATGGCTGGAACTTCTAAGTCTGCTATGGCTGTAGCTGTGTTCGGAACCGGCCAAACTCATTACCCGCATTCTGTCCATGAATGTTTTATTCGGGTTTGCCATCCTTTGGCGCCTCTCCGGTACAACGTTTGTGTCCTGGTCGGACTTGTTGTTACCGGGTTTGCGCTTTCGGGTTTTTGGGAGCACTCCCTTTTTACCGGGTAACACCCCGAATTTACCGAAAGAGTTCCCTCCCCCACCGGAAAGAACGAGGTTTTCACCGGACGTTCGGCCGACATCTCCGGACACCGGATGTTTTTCGTTGAATCTTTCGGGTTTCCCCGGTTGTTCGGTGAGAGATCGAGTTCTCATTTGGTGTTGCCCGGTGAGGGTTAGATGTCGGGTACTTTGCATCACTCCCTTGTGGGATTCTTCCGTTTTACGGTTGAAGGGGTTGGCACATGCACATGTGTCACACCTTGCAACGTATCGACGGACCGACTCCCGTATTTTGGGCCAATAGAAACGTTTACAGAGTGCTCTGTACGTTTCTTTCCCAACTTGGAAATCCGGACGTTTCATGGTCGTGATATCTCCTCAAAAGATTATCAGCCATTACGGAGGGTACTACGGTTACATAGTCTCCGAGCGTCTCCGGGCCTTTTAGGAGTATACCATCTTGCATGTGATAATACTCGTGTAGGCGACGAAATACTGGGCTATCGCTTTGCAATTTCCGAATGCACTCGGATAAAACGCGATCTTCGGCCTGCCACTTACGTATTTCATGTACGGAGATATTTTTCGGGTTACTTCGGTCCATTATGGCCCCGAATTTATGTTTACCCGTATTGTGGCCCTTTACTCCGTTTTGCGGAAACTTCACCCGTCCATTAGCCTTCATAATCAATGCAGACTGTGTGTCTTGGTCAGACTTGCAACATTGATTAAGACTTTTGGCAGTGGGTGAAGTTTTTCTACTTACTCCGTCAAGCGGAAACAGCCGAACGACTTGTTCGTCCTGGTCGGACTTGACGTCGGTAGTATAGCTTTTCGCAGTGGGATCCGTTTCATCAGACCCTAAATCCGCAGCCCTCAACCGTATGTCGTACAGTGAGTCTGTATCGGATTTAGCTCTTGTCCGATTTATCTTCGAAAGAGTTGACTCCGTCGGAAGTGTGTGGCTGAGTTAAACGCCGGGACTGATAACAACTGAGTTGTTAATCGGTCTTGTTCCGGGTCTTCCGGGAATTTGTTCGGCATACTGTTCTCGGGATGGGCACCTTGTTCTCCTTGGTCAGGATTGATGCCACACCCCTGTGTGTCCGAAACTCTTCCCTCCTCGTTCGCTTTCTTCCGTGGAAACTCCACTTCTCCGGATGTTAAGGCCGCAAATCGGTTTTTTCGGTGCTTACCCGGTACAACGTGCGAGTCCTGGTCGGACATGCTGTAGCCGGGTTTGCACCTTCGGGTTTTCGGGGAATCTATTGTCGTTTGTCCGGTCGGTTTCCCATGAAACGACCGGAACTCTGCCCGTTTCCCGACTTGGCCTTTGACCGCTCCGGGCAATTCGCTCGCCAGTGTCCGGGGCGATTACACTCCCGGCACAATGACCCCGCGTTTTCCGGCTTTTTTGGATTTTTCTCCGAAAACTCCAGGCCTGTCCGGTCCTTTCCGGTGTTTGTCCGGTGTCCTTCCGGGTTGCCCCGTTTTTCTTCGGATTTCTCCGGTTGCGGTCGGTTGTTTGTCCACCGAGAATACTTCCCTTCGGTGGACCAACGATTTTCTACGGCCGGAGTAGGACGAGTCAGGTCCTCACTGTCCAGCGCGCTTGCGAGCTCTCTCAGCTCGGTTAGTGTGCGTGGACGCCGTAAGCGAGCCTGAACGCGGCAGTCACTCCGCATTAGGCTCGTGATCGCCTCGATCAACTCCGGCTCAGTCAGTCGGAGATCGAGGCGTCGAGCGAGCTGGTACTTCCACATCACAAACTCCCCAAGGGATTGCCGTGAGCCTTGCTGGGCTCCGTGGAAGTCGCTCCTTATCTGGGTCCGGGTCGTGTCGTTATCGAACCGCCGGAGGAATTCTTGCCGGAATTCCGTCCAACCGGGGTTCAACGCCCGTAGTGTGCCCCACCAGTTTCCGGCTTCCGCCTTAAGCTGTGGCGACAACACTCTTACCCATCGGTGGTGAGGAATGCCCGCTTCCTCAAGGACCGCTTCAGCCTCAGTTATAAAGGCAACCGGATCTTCTTGCCTTTTTCCGGAAAACTCCGGCAAGGAAGATCTCGCTAACTGCAGGCTCTCGTGGGAGATAAGGGATGTCTCCTGGAAAGTGACATGTCTATCCCTTCTCGATTCCCTGGTCCTTTCTTCCGTTCGGCCTCCGAAAATACCCGTGGACTCCAAGTTTGGATGGGTCTGGCTTTCGTTTAACCCGTCTTCACGGTCATTTTGTCCGGGGCAAGTGGTGTGCACCTGATTTCTACCGAAGGAATTGAAAAATTCTCCGGAGAAATTCGGATTTCCACCGGAGAAATCACACCCCAAAGATTTTGCCCCCGTGAAAGGGGCGCTTTCACGGGACAAAATTTGGTTCTGACCGGGAGATTTTGTTGTCCGGGTGTTTTCCACCGAAGGCCGGTAATTGATACCGGAGATCGCTATGGAGGTCTGAAGTGGAGGTGGGGGGTCCGGTATCGAAGTTTGACCTCTTCGGACCATATTGTCCAGGACACTCCCTAGGCTATTTTGTCCGGGCCTTGTCGGGACTCGTCCGGTCCAAACCTCCGTATTTGACCGTGGAGGAGGTAAGTTCGGGATGGTACCTCGGTTTGTACTACCGATTCCTCCCTCCTGTTTCCGGCTGGATTCCTCGAGAGCGTTGAGCTGTGACCGGGCCTGGTCAAGCTTACCCTCGAGCCGCACGATACACTCCCGCTGGAGTGTCACCGTGGTCTCCAGTTCTTCGGTCCGGACCCGCTCGGCCGACACCGAAGCTTCCAGCGCTTCGGTCCGGCCCATGTACTCGTCTATGACCTCACATAGACGCATGTACAGGTCCCGGGTAAGCGACCACTCCGATTCGGATTCTAGGTCAGCCCGGGAGGGCGGTACCTCCTCTTCGGCCTGTACCTCCGGGTTAGACTCCGGTTGGCCATTAATCACCGAAGGGATGTTAAACTGTTGGAGTGGGGGGGATGACGGGTCCGTCATATAGAACCGCATGGTCATCGGGTCGACCCCCTCCTCCTCGTTGAGGGATGCCTCCAAACGCAACACCAGGTCGGGTTTTGTCCCCTCGGTGCCTAAACCCCGCGCCGCCAACTCGCCTTTCAACTCGGCTATTGTCAGGTCCAACAATGCCTTACCTGACATGTTGATAGGTACCACGTAAGCCAATTAGCCGAATGAAATATTACCGGCAGATTAGAGCGGCTGGTCAGCGGGTTTGTGGTTTTGCCTAATATCTATTTTTAGCACAAACCACGCTCGGGTACACTCTATACAGAAACCCTATTAATTTTTCGCTTTTTCGCGTTAAAATACCCCAAAATCGTAACTTTTTTGAGAAAAAACTCTCTTACGGTGGGAGCCTAGACTAAACTTAAGGTCCAGCTAAGCTAAGTCCGTTAGACTTTAGAGGGAGTGCCAAATTAAAAAAAAAAAACAATTTTTAAAAAAAAATAATATTCAAATTTGCACTTACCTTAAGTCCCTTTCAGTCTAAAAAAAATACCGACTGCGCCAAATGTTGTAGTTGAGGTAAGGAATAGGGTATATTGAAGGGTAGCCTGGGGTTCGAGTATTAAATATGAATTTATTAGTATACAATGAATATTCAAAAATAAAAACAAAATTGTCATATAGACGTTTTTCCAGTCGAAGTGAAAGTCGAAGTGTATCGTCGACGGCGGCGGCGGCTGCGGCCAACCCGTCCATCCGGCGAGCGCGGCCTGTCGGACGACTGGAGGGAAAAGCGGGCGCGGGCGCCATCCGGCGGTGGCGAGTGTGATTAGCACTCGCCCACCACCGGAGTCGCGATGCGACCGCGTCAAAGTGAAAAATGTTAAAAATAGATAAAATTTTTGTGTTGCTGGTAAAAGTATTTCAGACATTTATTTTTCATAATTAAACTGCGATTTTTTAAATATTGAATTCCATCAAAAAAAAAAAACGTGCTATTTTCAACAAATAAAGTACATTTTGCTTCTGTGGAAATATTATGGTTTGACTGTATTTTTTCCAAAACACTCGATTTTTGTTTTATATTATATTTAAATAAAAGTAAAAACATTTTTTTTTTTAATGTATTGTGGAAAAAAAATTTGAGAAGCAAGTAACTTACAAACCTATAATATTTAGTATCTACTAATTAAATTTATCTTTATTCCTTTGAACTTAAAACAACAAACACAAACAAATGTATTTAAAATGAATAATTATAAAACATAATTTAAGTATAACTCCTGCTAAACAAAACCCGTTGTAAGAAAATATAGTCTAGAAAAGTATTTTTTTTAAAATTTAAAAATAAAAATTAAGTCAACATTTAACCTTTGATATTGGTATTATAATTTAGTTACATAATTTACCATTTAATTTTTAAAAGTTGATAGAGCTAATTGTTAAAATCATATTACTCCGTTAAGTGTCATTGTTTTCCTCTCAGGACGTGTTTTTGAGTAAAAAAACGGCCCACAATACTTTAAAGTTTTGTTATGTCCCTTTAAAAGTCCAGGGATCGAAGTGGGTGAAGATCATTTGCAAACAAAATATATAAATTTCAACAGTAATTGATTAAAAAAAATAATATGGTTTTATTTGTGACAAAAAAATTTATTCAATAAGACCATTTTTGACTGTACCTTCTTTTTTTAGTGTAAAAACCGCGTAAAATGGAATAAAGTTGATACTACTAATCTGATTTTTAACGTTATATGTTGTACAAGAAATAATTAAAAATGGTTAACTATAGACTGATTTTTAATTTTTATTTACGTGATGACTGATGTTAATAAATTAAATAAAACAACAATTGGTAATTTCTATGGGAAATTGCACATTGCACTTTACCAATTATTTGTTACAGTTACTATATATATTGATATCAGTAAAGTATATGAGAAACGTTGTATTCCATTTAATTATAATTTGAAAATAATAAAAAAAATAAATAGCCAATCTAATACTACCCTATTTGCTTGTAGAAACGTGAAAAGAAAATGTGTCGGATGTCTTTGAAATATGGAAGTTATAATAACCTGATGGAAATTTGCAACAATCCATGGCAGTTCGTACGGCCATCGACCATTTTGTCTGATAATTCAGTTTTATATAATTTTCTAAGATCAAACATTTTCTTAGTTCGGCGTTATTAAATTGTTGTATACATTTTATCGCATCTCCACAATTAATAACAGGTAACAATAAATATCACATACCTATTTCTACTTTACAAACACCACTAACATAGTGTTTAAAATAAATATTAACAACATTTTGTTAAGATAAATTTTGTAAGTGCATAATTAATAATTCGTTCATCGACTTATGTATATAGGGACTATCGACTATCGAAGTTCACTAGATTTACCAATAAATATAAGAACTTTTTTACCAATTATTATATTTGCATAATAACTTTTGGTATTGTAACGCTAGTATTGTGTACCAAAAAAAATATATATTAATCTGTTGTCAAAATTAAGTAGCTCTCATAACGAGTTTGACTTGTTTTACTATACAGATAAAAATCTTTGTTATATTACTTTTGTTATTACTAGGTTGTAAATGTAGGTATACATTTTATGTATATAGTAAATGAACACTCAAAACAACTAAACGTTAACGTTTTAAAAATATTGTAAACATACATGATTAAAATAGCTTAAACTGTTATAAGCTAAAAAAAACATTTTCTTGATAGTATTTGTAATGTGTATTTTATAGGCACATTGCTCTACGGGTACATACAATTGTAATATTAATAATAGTCATGAAAATTTGCACATAAGTTACTAAATATTTATCTATATTTATATAATTTCAAACAATTTCATCCATGTACACATTATATTATTATACACTATAGTAATTACTAATTAAATAAAAATTTGTTAAAATTAAAAATGATTTTTTTATATTAGATTATTGTATTAGAGTTCAGCATTAGCTTAAGTTGTAAAATTTTTTTTTATTGTAAACATAAAATTAGAAAAGCCAATCAATCAAATTATATAATCGTATGAACTAACATAGTAAGTGAAGTAAAAATAGTGGTATGATTTATGTTAGTCAATCAAAAGGATTTATGTAAATCAAAATCTTTAATGTGCTAACAAAATTAGCCAGAATTTTTAATAGTAAAAGACATAAATGTATGTGTCCATACATTAGGTATCGGATCTCATTTTCATTCTTGTTAGCTAACTAATTAATTCATAATTTTACATTTTAATTTTACTCGTTTATATTGTATACATATACATAATTCTTACTAGTTTTTTTCATTTTGACGAACATATATCCCGGTTAGTCTGGAGTATAAATTAATGAAATAATTGAATGTGATCAATTCGGGTTCAACGTTATAATGATTTGGCAGCAGTTTTTTTCATTATGAATGTATTATGCATTTTAGTATTAGGTAAAACATAATATATGATCTACGAGAGAAGTCTGCGCAACTTAACCCACTTTACAAAAATTATCCTTGTCATATAACATATTTATACGTGAAAATAAAAATAATTTTGTGCCATAAGGATTTAGAGATGACAAATTTTAAATTTAATTTGACAACATCGTTAAAAAGCAATACAGTATACTAAAGATCTCTTTAATCCACTAATTTTCTTGGCAAATAATTATAATTTTTTACTACTTTCAAATCAATAATTTTCGGATTTCTTATGTTGCCTTCCCAGTGTGATATTATTTTCCATTTGACACATTAACACTGAAAGTATATTTTTTAAAAGCTGTTATTTTGGCCATTATATTTAAAAATAAATGTTTTATTTATTTAAATAGGCAGTTATTTATAAATCTAGTTGAAAATGAGAGGAGGGCAAGTAAAATATCTGATAAACGTTGTATTCCGTTAAATTATAATCTGAAAAATAATAAAAAAAACCAAACAGCCAATCCAATACTACCCTCTTTTCTCGAAAAGACAATATGTCGGATGTCTTTGAAATATGGACGTTATAATAACCTGATGGAAATTTGCAACAATCCATGGCAGTTCGTACGGCCATCGACCATTTTGTCTGATAATTCAGTTTTATATAATTTTCTGAGATCAAACATTTTCTTTCTTAGTTCGGCGTTATTAAATTGTTGTATACATTTTATCGCATCTCCACAGTTAATAACAGGTAACAATAAATATTACATACCTATTTCTACTTTACAAACACCACTAACATAGTGTTTAAAATAAATATTAACAACATTTTGTTAAGATAAATTTTGTAAGTGCATAATTAATAATTCGTTCATCGACTTATGTATATAGGGACTATCGACTATCGAAGTTCACTAGATTTACCAATAAATATAAGAACTTTTTTACCAATTATTATATTTGCATAATAACTTTTGGTATTGTAACGCTTGTATTGTGTACCAACAAAAAAAAATATATATAAATCTGTTGTAAAAATTAAGTAGCTCTCATAACGAGTTTGACTTGTTTTGTTATACAGATAAAAATCATTGTTAGGTAGGTGGTAAATTTAGGTATATATTTGAAGATATTGGGATTTAAACAAACTTAACATGATAACGGAAAAATTTACCTATTCATCTGTATTTATAACAATTTATGTGTTTGTTTCACAGCTTAAACATTTAAAATGTATCCAGCTAGACCAACGAGAGTACGAGCTCGGGGTCCGGTTAACAATGTGCGTCAACCCGGTCCAAGGTATCCACAACAGCGACCGACGTTCACATCCTTTACTCCTAGACCACCTGTGTCTGGATCTGTTGATTCACAAGTAAGCTGAAATCGAATAACAGTAACGAACAAGTTAATAAAAAATATAATTTTAATGGAAGATTACAAAAATACTTCAAAATAATTTTTTTTTTTTTTAGGTGAAACAAGTAAAAGAAAAGATGAACAAATTGGCAACAACGGGTATAATATAATTTTACATTTTTGAAAAACGCTTTGAAGTTAACTTAATCTTACCTTATACAGATGATATGCCAATTCCCCTTGGCCGGGGAAGTGTACGTGGCCGTCGTTTAACGACCGAATTTCAAGAAACATTTCTAGCGCCCCGCCCTGAATCGTCATTGACTCCGACAGGAAAGAGAGGTATCACATAAATATAATGATTAGCAGCTTAGGTATATATCGTGTAGGGCAGATAAAGCCATTTAAAATCCACAAATCTACATATTATTATTCGTACACAACAGCTATGTTGTCGGAACTTTTATGTAACGACACAGTCAAATAACTCCAACTACAGGATAACGTCTAATCTTACATACAAATTGTAGGTGTCTCCGGAGTTGAAGTACAATTGTTGTCAAATTATTTCCCGCTGAGATGTATTGACAAGGACAAAGGATTAATGCAATGGGAACTATATCAATATCGAGTTGACTTTGATCCCGAAGAAGATCGTATTGCAGTCAAAAGAGGTTTATTGGCTCAGCATCGCAATGTTTTTGGCGGTTACTTGTTCGATGGAACTATGTTGTTCACAAGCTCCAAGTTGAACCCCGAGGCAAGAAATAATGGCTAACCCGGTTGTGGTTTTCCGGTATAACTGAGTGCGTTTTATTGTTTCAGTCATTCGAGCTGACATCCCAAGATCGTAAGGACGATAAGATGTTCATTATAAAAATAAAATTCACTAATGTCTTGAAATCTGGTGATTATACTTACATTCAAGTATTCAACTTGCTTTTGCGCAACTGTATTCGGCATCTCGGCCTTAAGCTAATATCCAGAAACTTTTATGACCCGGAAGCTAAGGTCAGTACTTATTATCCATTGTATACATTACAAGGAGTAGTGATAAAAAAGGCAATTTTCGAAATTGTATCCATAAAATCACACAAATGTAGTAACAGCTTGATGTATTCAAACCCAAAATAAAAATAAACCTTTTATTTTTGAAAAGATTTCCACCGCTCCAAGTCAATAAACCAATATTCAGTAAAATTATTTAGATTTTTTAAAAATTATAGAAACATGTAAATGCAAGTAAGTCATTAAAAAAAAAAATACTCATTATTTTCTTTCATGATATTTGCTAATGTGCAGTTTTTCTTTTTGGTAATACTTTAGATTATGCTATTGTATTAGAATATAAATTCACATTTTTATCTCTTTTAATTACTTTTCTATAATCAAATTTTTTTTTCAACTTCAATTTTCATGTAAAACGAAACAGTCTTAAGTATATAGAATAACTTATTTTACAAAGCAACTTCATTATTCACTATGATAAAAAAAATGCTTAAAGTAACACATATATATTATGCAGACATTATTTCCTTACGGTACTATATATTTAATTTTTTTATTTCTGTAGTATTAAAACTATTTGAGTTATAAGGGAAAATTTAAATAATTTTACTAAATATTGGTTTTTAAAAAAAAAAATTACCTTTTTCAGTGGAAAAAGGTAATTTTTATTTTTACCACTTCACATTTGGTGTACGTATATCCTACATAGAATTTAAATTTTAATATTTATTGAATTTTTGTTCATATATAATATATTAGATTGACTTGCCAGCACACAAGCTCCAACTTTGGCCTGGATACGAAACATCCATCGCCATGCATGAAAACAATACAGTATTAATGTGTGCTGAAATTTCGACCAAAGTAATGCGCCAAGAAACAGTGTTGGATTTTTTACATTCATGTGCCGCCGAAAGGTCTAGGAACCCAGAATGGATGGTAAACCCATTTTATCTATTTTATATTGATGGAATTTATGTATTTATAAAACAAAGTTTTCACGTGATGCTATATTATTGTGTTAAGAGGACGTCAAAACAATATTTTCAATGCCAAAAACTTTATCTCTGGAGGTTGCATTGCTCTAGAAAAATTATCAGTTACAGCTTTTATTTATAAGCAACCAAAACTAAAGACGAAGAGTTTAATTAGATGATTACAATTTTTTTTTCCTTTTTTTAAATGTATCTATAACTTTTTAAAAGTGCATAATTTAATATTTTCTCAACTAAAAAATTATAATTTTGTCGCTAATGTTACATTATTTAAAAAATCCAAAATAAATAAGTAGGTAAACTCTTCATCTTTAACTTTTTTCGTTTGTAAATTTGTTTAGTAAATGCACTGTTAAATTTCCAAAAATCTCCAGTGGTATGTTTTTTTCAGTAAATACATGTTTTGGTATCGATGTAATGTAAAAATTGATAATAGCAAATAGGCTGTACTTTATATAATATGACCACTTTTTAATTATAGGCTAGTTAGTCTGTAGGCTACTGTTATACTAAAGCGATTTCTAAAATAATTAATTTGCGTCGGCAAAAAGAGGCAATAGTAATTTAATAATGAAATTGCTTTGTTGTCGTTTAACATTTTTTTAACGTGTTTCGTTTGAACATTTACTTTTGTATAGACCAATTTCAAGAACGGAGTCATTGGAACAACTGTTATGACAGTTTACAATAACGAGACCTATGTTATTGACGATATCGACGAAGCTTCGGATCCTTCGTCAACGTTTCCTAAGAAAGATGGCACGAAAATGTCGTACAACCAATACTACAAAGAGGTATTGATAGTAATTTCCACTTAGTTTTGTAACTTGTATGTATGAAATAAGTCATCTCGAACTCGATGTAAATTAGAAATGGAATGTACAAATACGCGGGGGCAGACAACCCATGCTGATATCGAAGAACAAAAAAAAATCTGTCCGCGAATTTGGGGTGGAAGAATCTTTGGTGTATTTGGTTCCTGAGCTGTGTGTCATGACTGGATTAACTACTCAGATGCGGTAACTATTATTATTTTGTACAACGTGATATTTATCCCTGATCCGTGAAATTGGTATTAGGGTTAATAAAAATACAATTATTTGTAATTGTCCAAATGCCTGTAGGTAAATACACTGTTTGAAATGAGAAAAAACAAATCAAAATTGGTCTGGGAATATTCGTCAAGGAGTTGAAATAATAATTACGAAATGGTTATATATATTTGAATATAAATAAAGTGTTTTGGCCTTTGGGGATTGGCCATGCGAATGGGCCCCTATATAATAATGTACAATTTTCAATTGATAATAAATATTTTTATTCGTGTTTAAAAAATTAAAATTTTCGTTTAAAAAAATATGTTACGTTATAGAAATTCATAGTGGTGACTAATGAGTATTGGTATTATGTATTATGTCTTTATCCAACAAGAGCCTCTCGATATTTATGCGTTTGATATTATAATATTAATTGATTTATGTTGTAGAAATAATTTCAATCTTATGAAGGACTTGGCAATCTATACGCGTATAAACCCAGACGAAAGGGTCAGGCGCCTTCGGAATTTCGTCAAACGAGTGTTGTCGTCCAATAACGTAAGGAAAATATCAATTCGTGGAAATAAAATTAATAACTAAAATGACAAATACCGTACAATTGTGCGTTGTTCGTTTGCAGTCTGTAGAAGAGTTTACGAAATGGAACTTAAAGTTAGACAGCGACCTCGTTGAAGTAAAAGGGCGCGTTTTGAAACCGGAACCGATTTTTGGCAACGTAAAGGATTATAATGGCGGAGATCAAGCTGATTGGACTAAACATCTAAGAATGTCACCGATGTACACTAATGCTGTAGTGAAATGTTGGGTCGTTATGGCTCCTGTGCAAAATAAACAGGAGGTAATCGCTTTCCTCACTACTCTGGCAAAGGCGGCCCGGGGGATGGGTTTCACATTACCACAGCCTGTTATGTGAGTGTCCGGTATCTGATGCAAAATTTAGGCTATTGTCACCTGCCCGGGACGTTTGAAATATACCGTCTATATTTTGTTTTACAAGGGTTCCACTGCAAGATAGTCGATCGGATACCATTATATGCACTCTGGAGGAAGCGGTGAATCAAAAAAATCCGACTATTATACTTTGCGCGATTCCACCGAAAGGACAACTGTACGCTGTGATAAAACGAAAATTGTGCGTGGACAGGGCAGGTAAACGTCGTCTCGTTCGATATCGTCTTTGTCGGTTATAATAGTACATATTATCAATTTGTTGTACAAACTGTTTTATGCATTTCAGTGCCGTCCCAAGTGGTGCTACTGAAAAATGTACAGAAAAATAACATATCGGTTGCAACGAAAATCGCTGTACAAATGAATTGCAAAATTGGAGGTGCACCGTGGCTGGTGAAAATTCCTAAAAAAGTAATTATTTGTGACATTTTTTTTTTAACAGACCGTATTTTGTAGGTATTTAAACTGCGACATAACACATTTTTCCTCGGACCTATTTTCAGGGCATGATGATAGTAGGTTATGACGTTTACCATACGCAAAAAGGTAAGAAAAAAATGTCTTATGGAGCTTTGATTGCAACAATGGGCGACACCCACACTAATATATTCAGTTGTGTTGAGCTCCACGAGGTCGGCGAAGAGTTGTCCAACCATTTCGCGGCGACTATGAGCAGTGAGTAAATAATTTAGTAAAGGATCATTGTTTTTTTTTTTTAATTACAATTTGTTGTTGTAAAAATACTATTTTTCCAGAGGCCTTGATGACGTACAAATCGATAAATGGACATTTGCCAACGAGTATAGTAATATACAGAGACGGCGTCGGCGAAGGGCAGCTTCAATATGTCCACAAAATTGAAATCAAACTAATTAAAGTAACGATTATTATTATTTTTGTTGTAAAAATGTGTTTTGAATAATTTATTCAATTGTATTTATAATTTTTTTTTTTTTTTTTTTACTATAGGCCGTCGTTAAACAATTCTACGGTGACGCTGGTGTCCCCATGGCGGTTGTCGTAGTTACTAAACGTATAAGCACCAGGTTTTTCACAAAACAAGGCACGCGTAACCCTCAAGCCGGTACAGTTGTAGATAGCGTGGTCACCGACCCTAATAAGTAAGAGAATATAGTTTTTTTTTTTGTTTATCGTATTGGTATAAGTTACTGTTGTAGAATCAAATAGGTAGATCTAAAACGTAAAAACCCACGAGAGATCAAACTCAATTGGTCGGTTGTAGGGTCTGTCACAAAAAAAAAATTATGAATTAAAATTGGTGTAAAAAATACAGTTAGCTCTTTTCACTTAAAATTCTTAACCGTTTTATTTTAATTATTAGTAACGTGTTTGTTTCAATTTCCATAATATTTTAATTTTTACATTAATAACTTGAATAACACCGTGAAATTAAAAAAAAATCAAGGCCCAGACGTACAATACACACAAATCGGTGTGACTAGATTTTATAATTATTGTGTTGTAAATTGTAGTATTTTTTTTCCTTTAACAAATTTTAGATACGACTTCTATTTAGTGTCACAACATTCGACACAAGGAACAGTGGCGCCTACGCACTATCAAGTTATTGAAGACACTTTGAATCTTCCACCGGATCATATGCAAAAACTTACATTTAAACTGTGTCACATGTACTTTAATTGGTCGGTGAGTAAACACTTTTCGGATAATTTTATTAATATCATAATAACGCCCGTCGTTGAGCTTGTTTGTTTTTATTTTTTCATTTCAGGGCACCGTACGTGTACCAGCCCCGTGTTTATTAGCCCATAAATTGGCATATTTTGCTGGTCAAACATTATGTGGATCGCCGAACGTTGGTTTAGACCGCCTCCCTTATTTTTTGTAATTAAGTTTCTTTACTACCTGTTTTATATTGTACCTTTTGTTTTATTGTTATTGAATTTGTCACCGCTTCATTTGACCCATACATTTTTTTTTTTACAAATTTATTGTGTTATTTTTCAAATTACTTATACTTTTTTATGTGTTAATTTTCAATATAAATGATCGAATGTTTAAAATGTGAATTCATACTATTTGTTATTTTTCTGTTTGCTCTGCGATTAATCTTTGTTAAATATCTGTATGGCCCTCAAATAGTACTCATGCCCCAAATAGTTCTTCATTAGTAAGTACATTTAATTGAAAAAATAAAAAAAGTACATTCAACTATAATTTAAAGTAAAATTGTTTGCTTTCCACAAAGAAACGAAATAAAATTTAGGTTACTAACTGGAAGTGTTTAGGTAGGTACCGAATGTTAGATAAAGTGATTGCAATGATGTTATATGATAGAACAAGGTCTTACGGATCAATACATAGGACATATTCAATTTAAAAATCTTCTTGGAAAGAAGGCCGTTGAGCTGAAAATATTTTTAAAGAATCAAATCCGATCATTTTAAGTAGGCGTAATTTTATCTAAAATTTACTTCTAAATTGGTTTAACTCATAGTAAACATTGTACATGTTAAAACTGATACACTTTGTTTTATGACGGTTATCATAGTATTGCACTGTTTTAATTATATTTATTAAATTATTCACTTCATTACAATGATTAAACTCGTTACTTAATTTACACTTGTTATTCTATCTAGGTTATTACAACAGACTGACTAGTGACTCAAAATAATATTATATGATAATAGATGATAACACAAACCACAATCATGTTATTATCATACAACACACTATAAGCACAGAATAGATCATCTATTCTGTGCTTCAAGCTTATATATTTTAACCTGAAAATAAATTGATATGGTCGACAATTATTTTCAAAACATTTTTAAAGCTTTATCCCCAAATCAAAGAATGTACTTTTTGTTATATATTTATACCCTGTGATATTATTACCTACGACAATCGACATTGATGTATATAGTTCAAGAAATATAACACTGTTACCTGGGAAAAAATTCAAATAGTTTTAAAATTCGGCACAACTATAGTTGCAACTGTTTGTCTTAATTGATTAACATACTAAAACTTTCTGACCGCTCAAGCGTACACTCGGTCTGCTTGACGTGAGAAAAATAGGGTTTTCGCTTTTTTTCTCAAAAAATATCAACTTGACAAAACATTTATTTCTATACAATTTTGTTAAACATTATTTAATTTTCTTATAAATAAAAGCGCTCGAAAAATAATGAAATTTTTCCATACAATAATCGACTATTTATAACGCATTAAAGTACAATTAATAAATACCAAAAATATTAATTAAAACCATTTATATGATAGGAATACTTACTATTCAACGAATCACTTTTGAAGTCGGTGCTTATGTTGTGGTCCTCTTTGCGAAAGCCGTTTAGATGATACTAATGCTTACATAAAATACTAGTAATGTTATGTTCATTTTTTTGTGTTTTGTTTTACTAAGTTCTAAGAAATAAAAATAAATTTAACCAGTAGATACTAAATATTATAGATTTGTAAGTTACTTGCTTTTCAAATTTTTTTCCACGATACACTTTAATAAAAAAAAGTGTTTTTATTTAATTTAATTCATACTTATTTAGTTTAAATAATATAATATAAAACAAAAATAGAACGTTTTGGAAGAATTACAATGATAACATACCATTTCCAATGATCAAAGCAAAATGTATCATTGGTTAAAAATAGTACGTATTGATCCGACTTAATTTTTAAACAAATCATATTTAAGGATGAAAAATAAATGTATAATTACTTTTGCCAACAACACTTTGTTTAAAAATATTTTATCTGTTTTTAACATATTTCAAAACACCTATACCTCAAGATTTTTTTATTTATTCAATGAAAATCAAAATGGAATCCTTCTATATATTATTTGTAGTTTTTAAAGAATCTTATTAATTTTATTTTCATTATCTAAAGATTTTTTAAAATAACCAACAAAATTTTAATTTTCTAAGGAAATAGGTATAATAATAGGTATTTTTTTACATCCATTATAAATCCGTCGAGTACCAAAAAAAAACTTATAAATTTCTGAAAAATAATAATAATCGAGAATAAAATATATTGTAGGCCCATTTTTTTTATGAAAAAAACATTTTACTATGTTTTTGTAGTGAGCAATAGCAAAAATATGAACTCTATTGATATATAATATATATATATTGTAATTGGTGGGCAATATAAATCTTTTCGAGGTATAATCTCTCCTACTTAGGGTATAAGGAAGATCAAAAACCTGATTCTGCATTTTTTTGTTTACACACTCAATAAGTAAATGCGATACTTGTATATTGGACAATGCGAACATAAATATGAATTTTAACAAAACACCCTGTATATTATTATAAATATTTTTCTTTATCCCGTTTGGCCGTCACCACAAAGCAGCAGTAGCCAGAAAGACCAAAAATAAATATTTCATTTTTGATAATAAATTGTTATGACGTTGTCACAGAAAAGGACATTATCGGTATCGATGAAACGCATATATATATATATATAGTATACATTGTATAACAAAGAACATATGAATGTATTATACATTGTATAGTATATATATATTACCTATACAATTTGTATTCATTGAGTATGGTCCAAAAATACCGTGTTTATAAGATGGAATGGTATTCTCAGAAGTCAGAGGGTTAGTGTTCGTGTGCGAGATATTCGGCCGGCAAATACTTAGAAGTACGAAGAATAATTAAAGTCTAAAAATTAGACTGAAGCATTTCTAGAGTGTGGCTATTAGGTACGTTTACAATTTTCTCAAACACAAACATCCGTACCTATTTCAATATATATTTTTTTTTAAAAGTAAAAATTGGAAAAAAAAAAAAAAAGGTAAAAAACGATGAATATTATATCGGGTATCTGATTACACTAGCCTGTAGGTAAACAAAATTGCGCTGTGGTATAATAATTCAAATTCTTTACTTTTCTACAGAACAATTTCTAACAAAAGATAGGAACAAAAAAAAAGTACATATATAAAAGTATTAATAATTTCTTTAATATTCAAAATTTCTGGGAATGAAATCGATTATATCATACCAATTGGTATATCAAACGTTAACCCGTGTAAATGTGTACTACTAATATTAAATAATAATTCATCTTATATAAATTATTATTGACGGATACGGCCATACGGGTTAATTAAAAGGATAATGGTCCAATAAGTGTAGATGAACTAGAGGTCCGTTGCTCGCAGTGAAGCCAAGTCGGCCGCCGAAGCCTGTTCTTATTCTGAATAGAGTATAGAAACTATAAGTACTACTGTTTTTTTAAATTGTTATGAGTATAATAATATTCCTGTATTTATATTAGTATCATCAGCCAGTGTTATATACTAGTCAATAGTGGATACTGTTACTAGCATTTTATTTTTCAAAGTATTAATATTTTAATATACATATTGTACCTACAGGATGATTGGTTAACTGTGGCTCTTTCAAATTGTTCTAAGATATTAGACCTTTTTTCACAGTTAATCTAAAATGAATACATTTATTTAAAAAAAAAAATATCTCAAAATTGGGTGGACTAATACTATACAATTATTATAAAAAAAAATAATATGTCTTTTTCAATCTGTACAGTCAAAATCACCTTGCACTAGAAACTATATACCGTATTGTTTTTGTCAAACGCGCACGAATAACAACAGCTTTTCAAACATGACAATGACATTGAAATTCGTTGTGATTTTACAGAAACGCGCTTGAATATAGCGTTTGAAAAATTATATTATATATATTTTCTTTATGGCCGCCGAAATATGTGTTGTTATGAGTTTTACACAAAATCTTGCAATTCGGCAAAACATTTAAACATTTTTTTCTAATTATTTTTTCGGATAGAAATCTTATATCTTACAAATATTACTTCTTGTTAATTTCCCAAATGATTCAATACCGTTAGTACTTGTTTAATACTGTACCAGTTTTAGCTTCGGCGCTGAAGTTTGCTTATAACTGAAAAAAAAAAACTAAAATAAATAAACATTGTCAACACACAACAAAACAGCGTTAAATTTTAACGATTTATGTGGATCGAGACAAAATAAAAAAATTAACACAATTTTTATAATAACAATGAACAATTAATATTTCATTAAAACTAATACAATAAAGCATTAAATAAAGACTTATACATGTACACAGATAGAGTGATTAATTTGACTCGTTATATATCATAAGCTTACAAGAAAATAGTGTGAAAAGTGTGTAACTAAAACACCCCCAATATCCTTTGATGTAAAAGGGTACATAGATTCAACTTTCTATCAGTTATAGATTAGGAAAAAATAGCTCAAACCAAATAGGTACAGTCTATAACCAAGTACGGTATAAATCCCACATAGCATGATTGTACCAAAATCAAGTCCAGTATCTACACATGCGTGACTACATTTTTTTTTTTACACTTAAATTATAGTAAAACTTTTATACGCCTTAGCGAATGCTTGGATATTAACGTTACGGTGAAAAAAAAATTGTTTTCTAAATTTTCAGAAGTACGGGGAAGGGTAAAGTACACGAAATACACATCAAACACTGTACCCGTCGTTGTTATTTGATCAAGTTTTTTCTGAAAAATCTAACCTGCCCACTGCCAAAATTATTAACGTTAACAAGTGATTCGGATTGGGCCACGTATAAGTTATAACGACGATTCAGTCGATACAACACACTTTGCAGTGAAAAGTTATAATAATTTGTTTGAAAAACATATTACGGTTCATTTTATAACCGTAACATCGTTTGATCGTGTTGACCCGTTTTTTGATTTTTTTCGACAATTGACGAATAAAAGTAAAAAAAAACAAAATGTTTTCGTTCCAAATCTGTGTTGTTGCACTGTGCAGTCTTCTTCGCTGTTGTCAAACCACGCTCACAGAGATAACCGTTGAAAACTTGTACGAAACCGAGTCGAAATTTATGGATTTGGTGTTTTCGGACACTACGTGCTA